TGCTGTTGGAATTCGTACCAGAATTTATTAAATTTCATACCTGTTCACCACAGTTTTTGTTCTGGAAAAGAATAAGGGAAAAATGTGTTTATTTCTCTATAAAGATATTTTAAAATTCCTCCTGGATGGAGATTTCAGGACCAAAAAGGAGGACATGTCCAGGAAAAAAAACGTACATATGGTAGCCCTAGAATAATGTATTATTATTATTATTATTATTATTATTATTATTATTATTATTTTTTAACCAAAGCTGATTTTCCTTTATGGATTCAGTCTGTGTTTAATTATAAACTGTGTCAGCTAAGAAACAAAAGCATTAACCGTTTGGGGGAACGGAAAATGGCGCAAAAATTTCTACAATCCCCGAGTAGCCAAACTGCAACATCACTGTGAAAACGTAAATGGCACCAACTGTAGTTTCTCCCAAAAAACATTCAAACGTACTTGAACCTGTCAATTGAAACATTGCCTTGACACACTGAAGAGGAGGATAAACGCCATACTTACCAGCAATCATAGTAGTATACTAAGCAGACCAGCGTATCGGTTTGTCAGAGTCAAATATAAATGGCTTGTTCATTTGTAACTATTGAAATGTATAACTCAAATAGAACATTTACAGGAAGCAGTATATATAACTAGACCTCTGTATAATCCAAAAGAAAAGTACAAATACGCATATAGAAAATCATACCTATCAACCAAAGCCTGAAAGATATACATATAATCCAGTATTTTATTACTCTCTCTCTTTCTTATTTTGATGTGCTGAGAACTTACAACTTGGATAGTGCTACAAACTTAAGATTTTGAAGGGTCAAATACAAACATTTTTTCTCCTAATCATTTGGAATTTTGCAGTTTCCCTTGTTGGTTAGCTTGAAATGCTGATTGGTCTTTATTCTTCTACATTGTACTTTTACGTGATTGCTCCGCATGTCGGTTCTGATGAAGTTTTCACTCGTGTTGCTGTCGCCGCCCCGGGGTGCGTGTCTCAGTCCGTCTCTCGTCCCCGGAGCAGAAGGGCAGTCCTGCGGGGGTTGCGTGGGCACGTGTGAGCTGCGCTTCACAGTGCAAAGAACACCAGCAGGAGTGACGTTATGATGACCTGAGTGTAGGGCATGTGGGCTGCCGACCCACCGGTCACAATCACTACCACTTCCACATCTGTGATGTCCTTGCCCTCCACAAGGGGGCGCTCACTCGATGGGAGGCCCTTCCGGACCTCCCGTTCCCAGGGCCCAGCTGTCGGAGTTGGGGTGCCGCCCTCTTCCTCCGTGCCCTCTTGCACCACATCCTCAGCTAGGTTCTCTGTCGTTTCCGTGGGCACCTCCTCTGCAGGCATCGTCTCAGTCTGCTCCCTCTCCGTCGTTGCTGGACTCAGGGAGGAGCTTGTCTGCTCCTCAGGGCTCTCTGTTCCGGTGCCCGTGTCCCATGTGGTCGTCGTCTCTGGCTGCTTCAGCACTGGGGAAAGAGACGCACCTCTGCACAGGGAGCACAATAAGACAGGCAGCGGCCTGCTGCAGGGGTCCGGGGACTCGGCCCCTTCGAGGCCCCAGGGTAATCTAAGCTGTTTATTGTGCAAACCTCAATGTGCTTGAGACTGAAGAACCGGGCCGCTGTCCCATCTCATTCAGAACAGCTGCATTTCTTTTTTCTTTGTACTGCACTCCCTTATAGCACAAGACATGCGCCCCCTTTAAAATGTCGCTAGACATTCAGTTTAACAGCTACACTTCCCATTTTACAGTGTCAGACAGTGTCAGTCATAGCGTTTAGGCAGGATTATGATTTAGAGGTGTTCAGTCATAATCCCACAGATGGTAGCTTCGCACCATTGGCTCCTCAGCCAAGCACATGCACCAAATATCTGGACCTGCGGTTCCTCTCGTACTGAGCAGGATTACTACTGCAACCCTCCAGAGATTCCCTTTGGGAATGGCGTGCGCAGGTTTCCAGAGTGGAAAGGACACGATCTGAGCTTCATACCTTTAATGTACTGCATGCCAGGGATGATATTCTGTAGACTCACTAGCATTCGCTCCTAAGAAAAGTGTGTAACTCATATTGACCGTACACAGCCAATAACACCATTAACATGTGCATTCCTAGAATACCTGAAGCTACTCAAGCCTGATTCCAGTCCCTTTTAGAGAAGCAGGGGGATCGTGCCAGTAGTGTTAATGGTGTATTAATTAGCAGTGTGAGGATCCCATGCTGCTGTTGCTGTCCTTACCACACAGGCTCCCAGCACAGCTGTGGTACTCTGGGCAGCTGGAGCAGGGCTCTCCCACCTCGTACGGATGCTCATTCTCGGCATTGCCCCTGGAACATTCAGAAAGATAGCAGTGAAGACAAGCAAGATGAACCTGTGTAGATATGGTGGCTACCACTCGACGTGCAGCCGCTGGACTGCTTGTCCAATGTGAATGTAGAGCCTGGGGGCTACAGCAGGGCCAGAGAAAGAGGCCTATTCAGTGTGCTCAGTCCCCTCACCCTGTGATCACATTACAGCAGTTAAACTCATTGAGTGTGAGTTGCAAGGGCGCGAGACAAACTCCAGTTACCAGTGAATGTGATTGCTTTATATAGCACCTTTGGGGAAGGTAGAGAATTTGCTGAATTTGAGGAGAGTTTGAAGGTTCGGAATTATGAACTTGCTTTGTGGAGTGTGTAGTTCAGAGCTCTTGAGCAGCAGTGGGCTTTGCTGCCCACCGCCTTGGTAAAAGTGTAAGAGCTGAGGCATGCTACAGTATGTGGGCATGTTTCAGTGAGTTCTCGTCAGAGGTCACCCAGCTTGCCACTCACGCAGGACTGTAGTTGCACACCAGCACCGTGGCTCCCTTGAAGCCCAGCCCTTTCACTTCGTCACACAGGTGAGTTCCACAGCCAACTCTGGAGCTCTCCGCCCACACCAGCTGAAAGAGGTGTTATTATTTCTCATCAACTGTAGTGGTAGCTCAAAAAGAGGTAGCAACAATTGTATTATAAATAATATGAATAGCTTAGATATGAATATTCGTAAGATCGAGTGTTGCGGTAGTAGTATGAAAGGCTACAGATAAGAGGATGCCCACATGGCTCATCTTGTTCATTAACTTGTCAGTAATTTTAAACTGTTTTCATGCCTCGGCGCCCAAAACATCTCATGGGAGTTGGATCAATATCCACAAATAGTGATTCAACTGGGATACTATTTCGGACTTCTTCATTAATGTTTTCACAAGAGTACATGATCTGCTCTCCACTGACAAGGGGCCTCCAGGTTATGTTCAAGGATTGTGATTCTGTGAGCTTTGTCCTTGCAAAGCGTCCTCACTTTACAACAGACCAGCTCTGGTAACGCAACTGCTGGAAGCAGCTGTCAAGAAGGTTATTATGGAGCTTTGGCACGGGGAGAACAGATCACCCTTTCGTTACTGACAGAAATACCACTTGCTGCTCTGCAATCTTTTGTTCCTCGCCGGGCGTCACCTGGGTGTAGTGGCCACACATCTTCGATACACTGCATTCGTTGGTGCTGTAGGTGTAATCCTCGTGCTCCTGGAACCACCTCCACACGGCCTTGCTGAGGTTGAAGCTGCCCGTGCCGACGTACAGGTTCTCCCCGAACACGGACTGGATGTCGAGGTTGTGCTCCCAGATGCACTGGGCTGCGTACTGCGTGGCCACCGTCTCCAGGTCCTGCCCCCAGCTCTGACACAGCGCACAGAGACGGGACACGGGTCAGCACGCTTCCCCTCAGCCTCCCCCAACGCCCCGCCCCCCGTCCTGGATTGCGTTTCGTTTTGCTTCTTATTTTGCGAAGCGAGAGAGTAAAGCAAGGCTTCACAACGTTACAGCGGTTGGCATTGCTGGGGTTCAAATCCGGGGGTGCTATCTGCGTGGTGTTTGTGTGCTCTCCCTGTGTTCGCGTGGGTTTCTCCGGGTGCTCCAGTTCCCTCTCACAGTCCAGACACACTGGTAAGTTAACTGGTTTATGGGACAATTGGCCCTGGTGTGAATGTGTGTGTCTCTGTGTCTGTGTGCACTTTTAATCACCAAGTGGCGCCTTTAATCTCCAAGAGAGTTTGAAGCCCAGTTAAGCTTCTCTGGCTTCATCTACCTGCTTTCCCTCTCTGACCATGCCATGCCTCCCTGCTGTACCGGTCCCGGAGTCCATATTCAGCAGTAAGTGATCTGACTAAGATGTCTTTCTTGTCTTTGCTGTGTCCTACTGGTGCTTCAGCCGGATGATCTTGCAGTTAAACTCTGAAACCTGCCAAGTAAACAGCTGTGCCCTGTTGTCAACCACATCAACACT